TACTTTCTAACAGGAGGAGAAAACGGATATTGGATGACAAAGATAATGATTCAGGAGCTTAGATAAATGATCCCATCTGTCGTATAGTAAAAAATCACCCCCCGACTCGCAGCTGGCCCCTCCCTCCCCCCTTACACAGGACAGAAATAAAGAAAACCGCAACCCTTAGAGTGTCGCAAGCGCTCAGATATGCGACACGCCCCCTGTGACGTCAAATGCGACAGTGGGAGGAGCCTGGTACCCGTCTCATCATGGCAGATTGTCAACACGGGTCTACACTCGATCCCACTGCTTTCCATCTGTTTTCCAACTGAAGGTATTGTAAAAATCAACCTGTGTCAGCTGGCATGCGACCTCGTGTTTTTCTCTCTCTGTCCAGATTTCGTCCGAAAAATCACGCACCCGCGGGATAATTATCGAGTGTTTTCGATTGTTTAGATGCAAAAGGTTACGTCTATACGAGGGGGGAAGGAAGGGCCACGCCATATTTCGGCTTCCTCCGCACACTACAACCGAAAATTACACAGTAGTATCACTTCATTGTCATCGAGTTTTAGCTCAATGGGGGATTGTTTGACGTGTCAACTCGGGCGCTTTTTTGTCGACTAGCGACAAAGGAGTTTACTAAACTTTTTGACTACTTGTTTATCCAAAAGATCAACTTTCGAGTGCGTTTATGTGACGTAAAGATTAAAAACCCTCCATTTATTAGTACAGGTGGCCTCTATAGAGCTTTGTACCTAATTATATGCTCCTGTATATCAAGCATTTCACACACACACAAACGATTAGAATGGTTGATAGTTTATGTACATTTTCCTTCCTTGAGCTCGTGCAGTACATTATCACTTACTTTAGTACCCGTTTCAAGAAATCTATTACCTGTACAGTCTATATACACTATATTATACGGGCTGTAAACGGTAGATTATATATACAGTCTACTGTACAGACTGTGTAGTATGATACACAAGCCATAATCTACCGTTTAAAATATAGTAAAGTCTGTCTAATAGTGTACTGTACACTGTATTTAAAGTACAGTCTAAACTATATACAGAATCTGTACAATAGACTCTAGTGGAGTATATTATAACTTTGTATAAGATCTATTGTGTAAGGTGTACAGACGTCATACAGTATACTACGTGATCAGTTTTAGGTGTCAGCAGTGTCTTTAGCAAGTATAGAAGAATAAACACCCACATTATTACAATATAGTGTACAGCTTATTGTGTTTTAAACAATTAATCAAGGTTAATTACGTTCTTCTGGGTGGGATGCAAGTACGGTCACTGCCAAACCTCTGAAGAAGGCCACTGACGGGTATATAAAAATTGGCTTTAGTTTGGAGGTTGTTTTGCATCCTTTATAACGAGATACCTTCTTGTAAAACTGGCCGTTGTTTAGAGGTTATTTTGTATGTTTTATAAATAGAAACGTTGCTGTAAACTGGCCGTTGTTTGGAGGTTATTTTGCATGCTTTATAAACGGAAATGTTGCTTTAAACTGGCCGTTTTTGGAGGTTATTTTGCATGCTTTATAAACGGAAATGTTGCTTCAAATTGGCTGTTGTTTGGAGGTTATTTTGTATGTTTTATAAACAGAAACGTTGCTGCAAATTGGCCGTTGTTTGGAGGTTATTTTGTATGTTTTTATAAATAGAAACGTTGCTGCAAATTGGCCGTTTTCGGAGGTTATTTTGCATGCTTTATAAACGGAAATGTTGCTTCAAATTGGCCGTTGTTTGGAGGTTATTTTTATGCTTTATACCGAGATACGTTTTGCAAACTGGCCGTTTTTTGGAGGTTATTTTGTATGTTTTATAAACAGAAACGTTGCTGTAAACTGGCCGTTGTTTAAAGGTTATCATGTATGCATTTATGACAGAAACGTTTCCTAAAAACTGTTCTTTTAGAGGTGGCCTTCATTGGAGGTTCGACTGAAATTACAATTAGTTAAATGCAAAAAAATACACACACACACTATCAATCCCCCTCCTAACTTTCAGCCTTAATTTTAAACTATAACAATACAAAAACATCGAATTTTTCGATTCTTTACTGTTTTTAGGAAGCAAATTAACAAAGGCAGAAACTGGATAAGTGGGTCAAAATTTGCCAAAATCCAGTTGAGACTTTCATGACTTATTGCAGGTATCATTTAAGTCAGGAATTTAGGTCTTTCGTGTTGACGTTCTACGAAAATCTAATTCGATCTTTTTAAAACACACAATATTAAAGGCTTAACCCTATACTGTAGCCTACTTTCTACCGAATTTTTGGCCCTTTAAAAGTGATTACTTCAAAGTGAATTAACCTTCTTGGTCCTTAAGGCCTACAAAACTGTTCGGAAAGATTAAATCCTTAGTATAACTGGATTAAACACAATTCGAAGGCTACCAAAGAGCCTTACAAAGAGTTAATAATATTATAACATTCTTAATGGTTAATGCAATAAATTGTCTCGTAAACAAGCCTTAAAAAAAGTTAATTAAGCTTTTAAGAAGCCTTAAGGCTCGGGCAAGCTTTACAACAGATAATATTCACCCGACTCTTTATATTATACACAACATTATACAAAACCTTACAAACGGATCCATTTATAAGGCTTTTATCGAAGAGCCTTGGATAATATAATTAACAGCCTTCCAAATCGTCTATATTATGAAGAGCCTTAAAAAGATTATAAGGGGTTAAGCCTTATAAATGTTCCTTAATAAGCCTTACAGTTAACTTAAAAGCCTTATAAATGGATATTATTACAAACCTTACAAATAAAAAGCCTTTACACGAGCCTTTAAAGAGGATATTTTCATTATAAGCCCTATAAATAAGCCTTGCGGTATTAAAAAGTATTTAGAAATTTAATTTTTTTTTTCTAATTTGAAGGCTCAAAAGCAAGATAGAAGGCTAAAACGAGTAAATTTTGTTCAATGTAAGTAAGCAAAATCCATTAACTTTGTTTCATATTATGCGCCTAATTTACTAAATTTTAAGTTCCTGTTAACGGACAGACATATAGACAAACGTTTTCTTTTTTACATTCCAATTGTCTATAGTAATGACTTTATACTGTAAACAAACTTAAATAGTTCTACTTAATGAAACCTGTTCAAGACTGGTTCCTCTGATTGTTAAGTGTTGAATGATATAATTGAGTAGACTGATGCATTTAAACTAGTTCCTGTGTCTTAATTTCGCACAAATAAACACTATATTTAAACACTGCAAGCTTTTGAGCATTAATGGTGCGAATTAACAGTGCGAGAACATCACAAATTGATGTTAGTCAACACTCAGATAACACTGCAATAACACTGTTTAATGTTGCGATTAACACCACGATAACACTGCAAATTAACACTAAGATAACACTACAATAACACTGTTTAATGTTGTGATTAACACCACGATAACATTGCAAATTAACACTAAGATAACATCACGATAACACTGCAATAACACTACGATAACACTGCAATAACACTGTTTAATGTTAAGATTAACACTACGATAACACTGCAGATTAACACTGAAATAACACTACGATAACACTGTGTAATGTTGAGATTAACACTACGATAACACTGCAAATTAACACTGAAATAACACTACGATAACACTGTGTAATGTTGAGATACGATAACACTGCAAATTAACACTGAGATAACACTGCAAACCTACGTCAGTTAACACAGATAATACAGCGACTCACTTCCAAATCTGTATTAAATTTTGATTTAAACTTCACGTAAGGCCTTTCTTTCAGGGTGTATGCCTTAAGATTAAGGCTAAATCGCAGTTTTATATACAGTAACTGCACCTTTTGTTACGTTCCTGTTAAGTGTGTTCACGAATTCTATAAATTGGTTCCACCACATTGTACGGATAGAGTGCGAGTAACGAAACGTTTACACAGTCGAACCTGTAACAACGGCGGACATTTTCACAGGAACGTTTTCTTAAATGCATAAATAACCTCCAAACAACGTCCATTACTTAAAACGTTCTCGTTGGATAAACGTTTTTATGAAGAAAAACGTTAAATTCAACGTTTTCAATCGATTTTCTATCGAAATCTGAGGATTATACGAACAATTTTCGACGTTTTTTTTAAAATTATTTCTGTAGAAATTATACTTAAAAGAGTCTAAACTTAAGTAGTTTGTATTATAAACGTTCAAATAAACGTTTTCTGAAGAAATTCTGCTTAAAAAAAAGCTGAAATAAACGTTTCCTACGCAAAACGTGCCTTAAAAATACTTACACATTTTTACGTATATTTTATTTAAAAAAGAAAAAACGTTGAAGTAAAACGTTTACACAAACGTTTCTGAAATAGAATTTGCATATAAAAACGTTAATTTTACCGTTTTAAAGTGAAATCTATACAATTTTACAACGTTTTTAAAACAGAATTCTTATATAAAAAGTCCGTTTCAACGTTTTTCAAGCAAAATTTACACAGAAAACGTATATTTAAACGTTTCTCGACAGCAAAAAAAACGTTTTTTTTTTAGGTAAAATATTCATAAAAAACGCCTTTTTCAACATTTATTTGTAGACAAAACGATTAATTTCGACGTTTCTAACAAACGTATTTAAAATTCGATTTGTTACTAATTAGTTACGACGTCACAACGACTCTAAACACGTCACACAGCACACTCTTCAACCACGTGAGCGTAACGTATTCAGTTTCCACTTACGTGGCGCCATCTGTCGCTCATAAAATTAACTAAACAAAAAAAACACTCGATTTCACACACAATAAAACTACAAAAAAATCTATTTAACTGTGACGTAAAACACAGAAACGTTCTAAATTTAAATATAATTTTTTTAAGCGAAAAAAAAAAAATAAAACAACGTGAAATTGACAATTTTACGAAAACCACGTGTACGAACCGAGTAAATACGCGTGAAATCGACAAATTTTCCCGCTCGTCTCGAAGCGACTTACTTCATCATCATTCAATAACATCATCATCCTCATCATCATCAGCGGCCGTCTGGCGGCGATAAACAGAAGCTTATGGCTGTGTACGATCGACATATGATCCGATCTTACAAGTCTTTTTATCATTTAAATTATTATTGATCGTGAAATATGTTGGAATTAGAAGTGGTGCCAGAAAGATCGTTGAGTAACGAATACTGGGAAGTGGTTTTAGGTTAGTACACAGCACTAATTACTAACAGCAAACACAAAGATCGAACCCCCCCTTACGTCGTTCGATACTTTATTCTCTTAAGAAAAAATAAAAAATTTAGCCAGAAAATATGGCATTAAATTAAATATTTAGGACGTAGACACGTGGTTTATTCAGTGTAATTGTGTTGTAAACAATGAAACTGAACAGTTTGCTGCTGGTATTATAGTGTGTGAAATGTCCTAAATCCTTCCCCTCCCCAAAACAATAGCTTCTTAATGATCTTTTTGACTTAATAGGGATGACATTCAGCCATGTGGTTCAGAGCATACAACAGCAGATCAATAGAATAAAAAATGTTCAAGTATTGTATAACGAGAAGGTGAGTACACGTGCTTTGTTTGTTTGTAGACGGATTATCGGTGGGAATATATCGTTAGAACACCGCCAGGAGCACTCGCGGATGCCTTATTTTTCTTAAAAGTTGGATTTTCGGATGTAGCGCGGGTGCGACTCCGAACGATGCCGTCGGGATCTTGTCTTAGCCGTAGACGGACTCCGAAGGAGTAAAAAACACTTGTCTCTTTATATTTCGAGGAGTAAAAGAGTGAAAGGAATGATTGTCTGCGAGTGACCCCTTACGACATATAGCCCCCTGAAATCGGTCTATCAAAAATTTTGGACCCTCGAAAGAGGGATGAAATTTAAAAGTGAGAACGTCTGGAACTGCTTCTCAAAATAATGGTAAAAATTGGCCATTTTCTGCTTTACTAGAGACATACAAGTGAGGACTGTGGGTTTTACTCCTGTGGGCATGATCTACGGCTCTAATAAGGTCTTAACTGGCTCGTTCCGAGCTGCATTTGTGCTGTGAAAATATTGTTAAGAAAAGAATACGTAGCTTGAAATGAATAAAAAGTAAGTGATAACAAAATACGTATCAAATTGCTGCTTGATTTTAAGTGATATATGCAAATTTTAGCATAATTGATAAATTTTGACATAAAAATTAAGCTAGTAACTATCAAATCTTGCTTGTTATTCGTGGCAGGATTGTCTGGTTTAAGGAATGATGGGAAACAAAATCCCAATTTGAGCTACTCTTAATAAATTAGGCTCACTGGTGGTCAAATAGATAAAAACTGCTGAATACCAGTAGTTGGTTGCAGTTTTGCACCCCACTGTTTGTCTAGCCACAAGGAGTTTCCGGGATTTTTCACATATGTAATGTTTTAATGAGGCCAGCTTCCATAAAAAGTCCTCCTGGGAAGCATCCCTCCTTGAAAGATTGCCCAAATATTCTTTTGTATTACACAGACTAAATCGTGGGCTGATGGTACTTATTCAAGCAGCGCGGGATGTATATAGACTGGCACAGGTGTTTGTAAAGGGACCGGTCCTACGGATGCCTCTGAAATTTCCTGACGACCCTGTCTGCCTCGAAGTAAACCCGTAACAAATTTAAGAGTCATATCGGGATGTTCTCACAAGGATGAAGGATGTGGAACAAATCTAATCCTAGATTATCCTTGATAAATATGAAGTACGGATCATCAATAAGGATTTGAATGCAAAAGTTATCGGTGATGATTATTTTATCATACAGCCGTCTGAGCAACGTAGCATTTCGTTAGACCCATAGAACATGAACCTTGATGTAAAATATATTTCTGGAAGTATGAATGAGCATGGAGAATGTTATTTCATTCTTGATTATCGTCACAATTTACAGTAGTTGTAAATTGTTACAATGGATCAGATTTGGAGACATCATTTGCAATGATAAATACTGTCGTATCATACAATCATCTAGAATTTCAATAACAGCAATGGAATTGGGGGTTACATACTTTCAATTAATGTTTTTTTCTCTAGTACTCTTCTCCACATGCCGACACGTCTCTCGTCATTTGGCAACAATACTATGCCTCGGGATAGAAGTCGTTCTGCCAATTTTGAAGTGTCTCTGTGTGCATGCTGAAGATAATCAATGGACTTAGGAAATTCCGGATTATCCGCCTACAGTCTGGATTTGTCATTGTGTGATTATCACCCATTTGATCCTTTGAAGGAAGCTTTGCAGATCGGAGATTTACCCAGCATGCTGGTCAGAGTTTATTGCTGTCCAAATGGCTTCTATTCTACAGCCGCAGCATCATTGCGAAAACAAAGAGAGATGTGTCGGTACGTGAGGGGCGTATCTAGTGAAAGAAACATAAATTTGGACTATGCAACACACAGTTCTGTTGCTGTTACTAAAATTTTGGATGAAAGTTGAATTGCTCTCGTATAAAGAATCCAAATTGGAAAGATATCTTAATCCACTTTGCTAAGGGGAAGCTCAATGACAGCCTGTAAAGATATCACAAAAGTAGCTTATAAGATGCTGGTATGATGGCTTAGGAGCTTATCTTGAAAAGTTGCTCAGTGTGAAAATGCTTTGTATTATGTAATTAAACCTGAGCCAAAAGTTTGGCTCATTTCGCACCCTATCTTGTACTGAGTATTGTAATAAATATTAGGTTTATACAGAAAAGTACGGTAAGGTCTCGTTTAAGGTGGGATTAATATACTGTATGTGGATTTGTGTTTTTGCAAATGGCAGTTGGTTAGGTTAATTTTCATATGCACAATTTTCATATGCAATAATTTTCATATGCACCATTAATGTACACATTGACTATTGTTATTATAAAATTTGCTGCTGTGCAAAGGTAATGATATAAAAGTTAGAACAATTCTGTACAGCAGAAAAAATTACCAAGGTAATATGAAAGTAGAAGCTTCCATTGCAGACGTGAAAAGTTTTGTCTGTGCACTGAGGACATTGTACTCTGCATCATTAAGCCTCGTGTCAGTGGTAGTTATCGTAGATAGCCAGCTGGCAGCGAGCCTGTTTATTAAGGACTGGTGGTACCCATGTGCAGATGCTATGGACTTTATGCATTTCAGTTTGATATGTGTATCAGAAGTGTTCGAGCAATGGGAGAAAGCCCTAGCAACTAGGGCCCTGAAAACTGCTACCTTGAAAGGCCAAGGGTCTGCTGAGTTAGCAGGTATAAAGAGGGGAATGTATGTGGGTTTGCGGTAAATAGACGTGGTTATATTTTTATTCGCCATACTAATCTTGACATCCAAGTACCTAACCTCTGTGCGACTTTTCTGATCTAATGCTAGTGTTAAGCCATAGGCATTGTTGTTAAAAACTTTTAACACCTCTCCTATATCAGGTTTGGTTTTTCCATATAATCAAAATATCATCTACATACCGCGTATAGCTAAGGATATTGTGTTGTAAGCTTATTAAGACTCATTCCTCTAATTTACGTAAGACGAGTTCGCACAGATCCCCTGAGATAGGGCTACCCATCGCCAGGTTTTTAACAACAACGCCAACGGCCTAACACTAGAATTAGATCAGGAAAGTCGCACAGAGGTTATGTACTTGGATGTCAAGATTAGTATGGTGAATGAAAATATAACCATGTCTATTTACTGCAAACCCACATACATTCCCCTCTTTATACCTGTTAACTCAGCATACCCTTGGCCTTTTAAGGTAGCGGCTTTCAGGGCCCTAGTTGCTAGGGCTTTCTCCCATTGCTCGGACACTTCTGATACACATATCGAACTGAAACGCATCAAGTCCATAGCATCTGCACACGGGTACCACCAGTCCTTAATAAACAGGCTTGCTGCGAACTGGCTATCTATGAGGACATTGTATAAGAGTGAAACTGAAACTTATGAAGAGAAAATTAGTATAGTGAATCGAGAACACATCATGACTTGTGTGTATTTTGGTCCAAACTTAGAACAGACTGAAACTGTCGGATGAGGAGGAAGTTAGACGTGGAATTGGGAAATTGCATTGTTCTTGCTATCAAGGTCTTTCATTGCTTAACTTTTAATGATCTGATGAGAAGCAGTTTGTGGGTGTTCAACAAAAGTAGCCATTGTTCTCTCTCTGTTTATCACCTATAACATTACATCTAAATACTCTGATCAAACTACTATTACCATTTCAACTATATCCATGTTAATCCATTCTTTTTTTACTCTTCTACATTCTGATATGTATATTCCATTTATTCTAAATTAAACACATTCCATGAAATGCCCCTTTTAATTGAAAGCTCTGTTATGTACAATCTAACACACAAAATCATTGGCGTAAAAATTTATAAAATATATTCAATGCCACATAAGAATAGCTACATTGTTGCCATGATCTGTATCAAGGAAAACTGTGTTGATGTGGTTTTCCTTGACGAATGATAAACAAGTGAAATTATGCAGTCTGCTAATGACTTAAAACTTCAATGTTTCTTCCTGTAAGGTTTAATTTTCCTTCCTTTCTCCTATTGTAAAAACCAGAAATTAAATAATAAATATGTGAAGAAGCAGAACATTATATGTTATGTGGTGGACTTGACTTTGCCTTTTATAGACATACCCCACTGTTACCAGACTGGGTAAGAGATGATCAATAATAAGATATAATTTTTTGTCTTTCATTCAACCCGTTTACGGTGAGGTAAGAGCATGGAACGCATGCTTTTTAGGCATAGAAAGTCACATAGATCTCATCACAATTCAATTTCAATTACCTCACTGGCCCCGTTGAATAAAATGTTTGTAGCGTTTACAAACTTTACAAGTTACAAATCTCAAGTAAAATGTTCTGTAGCAAGATATAAGCTACAAATAATATAAGTCTTGCAGCTTGTAACTAGTAATTGTTATGTAACGGAGCCTTGTCGGTGGGATACCTTATGCATTGACTTATACCCATTTAAATTAATTAAACTAAATTTAAAGAGAGATTTCCTGCCGATAAGAGACATATTTAATATATAATTGCAACAATGAAAAAATTATATAAATTTTTACAAGATCAAAAACACTGTGTTAACTATTGCATATATTACTTTCAAGCTTAGAATCAGTCATCAATACAATACATAGAACCATTGAACTCTGAAAGTCTGTCCTGTTGCACTTCGGGCCGGCCACTGGAGATTTTGGGGTTTTTCCGACACTCAGATAGGGCCAATTTATCATAAAAGTCCCCAAGAGGCACTCCTCCTCAGCAAATTGCCGAGTGTCACGTTATCTTTTACTGTTGATCCAATCCAATTTTATTACACAACTTTTCTTATATCAAGTATTTATTCCACAAAATGTGATGAGAAGCTGATGGTAGGTAACCAACACTAAAATGATCTCTTTTCAAATACACAGTAGTTCGTAAATTAGATTTTAAATTTGTTCTCACAGTTTTTTTATTATCATAACAATAACACGACACTTTTACATTAAGCAATCGAGGTCAAACTGTAATTTACTACTCTGTAAAATGAGGTCGGCGAATTTAGGTTGGAAAGAACTGTGTTATTTTTAACAAGTCGGAATAGTTTGCACGTATTAAGTCTCTATGACTCGGATAATCGATGATTTGTGCCTTTTAAATCTTGAAGAAGGGCCAAAATGATCAAATTTAATATATATTTAATGAAAAATGCCTTAAAATTTCTTCGTAGAGAAACATTTTATTTGTGGCTAATATTCGCCTACCATACCACCCATCGAAATGTCCCATGAGAGAGTTGATTGAGGATGTTTTAAGCAATTTTGGGGGGTGGGTGCTTCCAAATTTTATGTCCTCGATCAATTTCTTTAATTGTACTAAGGTATAACACATGGAACGAAGCACTGAATGTTACGTTATTCTCGCAAAAGAATCACTTATATCACTGTCTGTTGGCGTTACGAAAAAATTAATTATTTTGCAAGTACTTTCAACAGTCTAAAATTGTTCTCTTCACGCAGAATCTAGTGGCAATATATAGCCAAATTTCTTGAAGACTCGACAAATATGTAATTTAACAGAACACGGACCCAGGTAGGGGTGAGCCCATAGGTACTTCCTGCCTTTGCAAGTAAATATTACTGTTGAAATAGAAATAATTGTTCTCAGTAATTAGTAAAAGCACCTCTGTCAACTCCAGTATATGGTGGTTTTTCAGCCCTCGAGGTACAGAAACATGGCTATTAAAGCACTGATATGCAAGTCATTCTTACGTGTGTACCCACCTACTGTATCTNATCAAATTTAATATATATTTAATGAAAAATGCCTTAAAATTTCTTCGTAGAGAAACATTTTATTTGTGGCTAATATTCGCCTACCATACCACCCACCGAAATGCCCCATAACACCGTTGCAATTGAGAGAGTTGATTGGGGATGTTTTAAGCAATTTTGGGGGTGGGTGCTTCCAAATTTTATGTCCTCGATCAATTTCCTTTATTGTACTAAGGTTATAACACATGGAATGGAGCACTGAATGTTAAGTTATTCTCGTAAAAAGAATCACTTATATCACTGTCTGTTGGCGTTACAAAAAAATGAATTATTTTGCAAGTACTTTTGACAGTCTAAAATTGTTCTCTTCACCCAGAATCTAGTGGCAAAATACAGCCAAATTTCTCGAAGACTCGACAAATACGTAATGAAACAGAACACGGACCCAGGTAGGGGTGAGCCCATAGGTACTTCCTGCTTTTGCAAGTAAATTCTACCATTGAAATAGAAATAATTGTTCTCAGTAATTAGTAAAAGCACCTCTGTCAACTCCAGTATATGGTGGTTTTTCAGCCCTCGAGGTACAGAAACATGGCTATTAAAGCACTGATATGCAAGTCATTCTTACGTGTGTACCCACCTACTGTATCTGCGTTATGTAATTTATGGATGGCCCTTTATGCTGTTTCGTGCCTGTTATTGGTTCGTTCGAATTTGTATTGAGGGATGACACCAAATATGGATCGACATTTTTAAAGAATTGACCCAGTCTGAAACTTGCGTTTCTCAGAACAGCAAGCTTTAATTACTTAAATGTTATCTGTCCAGGTTAATTACCCTGTACTGAGTTTTATATAGAAATATTAACTATAAATGCACTGTAGAGACAAGCTTATGACAAATACAAATATTTATCTTTTCAGAATCCCCTGAAAGCCGATCTCGTAATTAAAATGTGCGAAGATGGCATCCAACTCCGATTCGATCCCGTATCTCAACGGTTAAAGGTACAGTATATACCTTGAAGTGTGATAAACTTGATAGTTTGTACACTTATTAATGTAGTTCATACATAAATACAATTTAAATTGTTTTCTTAGAGTCTTTTTAATTAATGTGGACTCACAATTATGGGCCTAGAGTCTTAAAACTAGATAGTTTTTTATGACAGAATGCTTGTTTCTTTGCAGATAATTGAAGTGAATAATCTGAACAAGGTTAAATTAAAATACTGGTAAGAATTAAACGTATTTAAATTAATTCAACTCTTTTTTGTCATTAGAGAATTATTAAATAATTTGAATTTATTATTCTACAGTAGTATTGTGTTCTGTTCTCCAGAAATTCCACCGACAATTGAACAAATAGATCACACGTTTGGAGCTACCCATCCTGGCGGTAAATATTCTGTTTGCTGTTGTTATTAATATGACAAAATAGCATTCGTGAGAACAATTAAACCTGAACATATTTAATCTTCTGTAGTTTCCGTAAGCTGGTTGCATCTCGCATCAGAATAGACAAAAAAATAAACACGAGAAAGCGCCGTATTGAAAATCTATCTGTTAATTACTTTACACGATCATCCGTAACATGTACCAAGAAATGGCATAAAGTTCTAAATTACGAGGGGAGGAAAGTGGGGCAAATGCTACATGATTTCACTGGCCAATTGTTATCAGCAGATGGGTTTGTTGCTTGACAATGTTAGCGGAAAGAGTAAACACTAACCTGACAATTACATCATTGTAAATTATGGAATGAGTATTATTTTTTTGCCGTAAGTTACTTTTAGTTAGCATGGGTTGTTGGATGCGACATCAGCTGACTCATTTTGTGATGTCAAAATTGGTTGACAGATTGTGTGGGCAGCAAATTTGTGTAGTTTTTGTCCCCCACTTTAGTTCCACTAACTGTTTATTAAGACTACTCCCAAGGATTTTAAAAATACGCAGTCCTTTAAGAATAATATTTAGTATCTGTTGACTCGATTACTAATTTCATAAACACCGAACTAGTGGCTCTCAACCAGGTGTACATAGCTAGGGATATTCAAGAAGGATTAGTTGGTGCTGCATGTCCATAAACAGAAGACTTGGGTTATACGTGAGTGAAAAAGGTCGAGAATTATTGCACCACATACAATTATTAGTTCAGTATGCAGAATTAATAACTTTAATTAGTAATTAGAAAGATAGCCTAAGTATTTGATACTCTTCTCTAACTGCACTTCGTAATGAACAACTAAACTTCGAAAAAACCTTTAAAATGCAGCCATTTTATTATCTTTTTGTGTCTCGATGAAACGTTTTTGTGTCGTTAAAAAACAAGATTTGTTGTTCTTCAAAAAGGTTATTGAAAATGACCAAAAGTGTTCGAAAAGATAATAAAATGACTGCATTTTAAAGGTTTTTTTCGAGGTTTAGTTGTTTAAGTATTTGATAATTAGGGAAATATCTAAATTTAAAGAGTAAGGAGAACTTTAAAATATGATTTTATGTAGTTTTAATGATTTAAAATTTTCTTTTCCGTGTTCTTTTTAGAGTACGATGCTTCGCATCAACTCTTCATCTTAAGCTTTCGCGGATTATCATTTTCTTTTCCGGTGGATCCCCGATTTCAGGTATGTTTAAATACATTCTCTGCTTTTTATTTATGGTTAAGAGATTTTTTTATAAAGTCAATTCTTAGTTAATCTACTATTAGTTATTAATAAGTTACTAATAGAACAATTACAATTAAATTTCACAGTAGTAAGGAAGGTCACTACGTGGTGTCCAAAAATTTACTGTGCTGTGAGAAATTTGTAATGATATTAAGGTTAACATTGCATTGCATTGCATACAAGATTCATCTGTAAGTCATGTGTCTTGCATTTCCACTATGTGATAGATTGTGTTACTACCGATTGCATAATCTCCCACGGCATCCAGTCTGCTAAGTCTCTGAACGTCACTCCTCCAGATTTTGGGCCTCTGGGGATATTTGCTGTAGGAGAAACTGAATTTTTATGTGAAATTTCACTATTATTTATAGTTTATTTAAACATTTTCTGCTGCATGGTAACTTTTCAGACATCCTGTACTCTCATTTAACACTTTTTCAATACAGTCGAACCCCCCTATAACACGGGTTCCTATAGTTCGGATTCCTATACGACGGCAAAAAAATTGTGACGGTATTCGTACAAACATGGTAAAAAAATCTCCTATAATTCGGTAAAATGTCATCGGGCAGCCAAACTACTTTCCGCCGTCCAGCGCCATGCTACGGAGAGTTTATGCGGGTAAATTGAGTTTACTATTGTCTGTACAGTATTATATATTAATTATATATAAATTAGGTACTGTATGTATAATTATATATTAACTTAATTTATTGTAACTTTATTATAATTATATATATACTTTCTGCCGTCTAGCGCCACGCTACGGAGAGTTTTGGTCAGTAAGATGAGTTTATTATCGTCTGTACAGTATGTAAATTAGGTACCGTAAGTCTAATATAGCACTAATTTTATACATTTCTTGTGAAAGAAACATTTCTTGTGCCCGCCGTTTGGTTCGCTGCTCCGCGACGAAAACAAACTTAAGCAGTGGTGACATCAAACGGTGCACACTCGGTAAGTAATCCTACAATTTTTTGTTTATGGCATAGTTTATACGGATTACTCCCAAAAAATTATACGTGTTTTGGAAATGTTGAGTCGAATTAGACTAGGAATCGATTAATTTTATGGAAGAAAACCTTTCAAACAGCCGTAGTCCATAAACTGCACACGTGCCGGGCTGTGATCGGCAAGGTCTCCTAAAACGTCAATTTCATAAAAAACGGAACGTATCTACCGTGTTATAGGGGGGTCGACTGTATAACACAGTTCTAAGGCAGGTTATGAATAGGTGTATTGAGTATTTTAACCATTAATGACAAATGATACGAATGGTAAAGTTAAGACAGCATAACAGTGACTGGTTCACCAATTGTCTCACAGTTCTGTCTTTCTACCTTATGTGCACTAAGAGGGCTTTTTTTTACAGATCCATCATGGGTTTGATTATGGTTTCCCAGAGTGGCAGGCCAATACTTTTATCACTTTGATTATCTGGCTGGTTAAAAGGGTCGCTATCAATATAGGGACTACATTGCATTATTTAATGGCTGGCTGACACTCAGAGCTGTTCTAGTTTATAAATATAAGGCAAACAAATACATTTTGGAAGTTTCTTAATTCATTTTCTTTTTATTCACACTAACGAAACACACTACAATATTATAGTAGAACCAACTTTCTTTTTTAAATTCTCTTCTGCTTAAGTACATTAAATTACTTAAAAACAGATCTGATGTCAACATATTTTAAAACTTGGAATGTATAATTTGTACAACAACAAACTGGGATTAGTATTTATTTAAAGCTCTTTGCAGTCTTATGATAAAACGTGGACATTTTATGTCTTATTTGCTGTATTTTTGTGTGTAACCTGCAGATTATCTGTGTTTAAAAGACAGTTTGAAAGGGGTTTGAGTTATATGCTGATTTTGAATTGCAATTATCAGCTTGCTCCCATGCGTGCAGTTGTTGCTCCCATAAGTGCAAAGTATATGGTATTACAGGCTTTAATTTTGTTCTGGGAGTTTTCTGTGGGGAGATGAACACCATTGTGTGTTATATGTACAAAAATTACTTACTGTACATTAATTTTCATGCATATAACACACTTATAAGGAAATTAAGTGATTGCTTTGTAACATATTGATGATATAGAAATAGATAAACAAATAAAACTCACGCCAAAATTGTATAGCTTCTTGATAAAAAGCACTGAGTTCAGCATTAATACGATTTTTCTTATATCGCAAGTACTTTCGACGAGTATTATATCGTCGTCCTCAGGCGAAAAAAGAACAGATTTGAAAATTAGAACGTGCAGTGTGTTTCAAGTAGAAAACGCAAAAATTTTTCTTGTCAATTTCTAAATTATAACGTTCGGTAATTCCGTTAGTCACGTGCAACAAGCTGTTGCGGGCGTTCGAAATATCTAACACGACTAAATCCACACGACTAGCAACGCATGCATTGAGGAGCGATCGTACTAATTGTGCGACTCTTGGCGCTTTCTGCTGTTTAAACGCTGGTATAAAGTAACCCATATTTCGGGCAAGTCGAGTGTGGGGACGTTGCATGCGTCTGTGGTCATTGTAAATAATTACAAATGTATTTTCTGGCCTCCGTCATTACCATTATCGAAAGTACTTGCGATATAAGAAAAATCGTATTAACGCTGAACTCAGTGCTTTTTATCAAGAAGCTAAACATAGTGATGAATATACACTTCTCAGGTAATTAAAACATACAGCTCTTTGATGATTAATTTGCTCAGAGACACTTTGAAATTCTGGATAATTTTACCTATTGTTTAGAAAGAGCATCTGTATTTTCTGTTCTTCCTTTCACAGAAACTATGGTACAAATGGTAAACTTAGGCTCATTTTGTAGTCCGACAGCAGCTTGGCACAGAAACAGTGGAGTTTGCAGAGCCGCACTACATTTGCTGCCCTCTGTTCTGCAAGACATCAAACTAGGCACACACTTTAGGTCTAGCAACAACTCCAAAGTCAAACAACGTTCAACATTAATGTTTGATGCTGATGCTACACTGCAATGAGTTAGCTACCTGCCAGAGTTTGACTGTAAACCAAATGATGTTCTTGGGTACGGGAAAAGGCTCTCTTAGTTCCACAAAAGAGGGGAAACCGTTTGTCTCTTATAATATTTCACATGAAGTTTATTTATAGTAATAGAAACTTAAATTAAGATAGAAACTAATGTACATACTAATTCATTATCTCTTCCTTTAAATATTTGAAAATTAGCCAAATTACACTCAGGGAATGGAGAGTTTCCATTTTCCTCTCGGTACTTCACCCACGGTTGCGAAAATGTGTATTTACAGTGGGAACAACTTAACCGAAACAAAGTAAGTTAGAACAGTTACGTAAATAACTCCAATCTCACGCATTCTAAATAATTACGAATGTATTTTCAGGCCACCGTCATTACCATTATCAAACTTTTATAACCATTGCTACTTGGATAAATTGGAAGTGCTGCGAGAAAAAAACAAAACAGTTGGCGTGAAACTTCATCTAATTTCAGAAGGTAAGAGACATTTAACTAACGTTAAATTAACTTTTCTATATATTAATTATAGCGTTTTGTCTCTAGCACTAGGCTCCAACAAATTACGCGAATTAAGGAAACAGACTGTAACAAAGGTTTTAAGTCTAGGAGACACCGTTCAGGTGAGTGTCGTGGATTACGACATTAATAATACTGTAATTATTTTTACAAATAATTAGTTATTTAACAGGATGTCTGCTCAGCCATCGGATCGCCAAATAAAGTCTTTTATAAAGCGGACGATAAAATGAAGATCCACCTGCCGAATTCTCACAAATTAATAACTTACAGTTCGTCAGATTACTTCTACAATTTCTTTACGCTAGGAATGGTACGTTAATATTATAAAATTATATAGGATAGGCTGGTGCTTGTCAACATCATGCATACTCGTGGTTTATGCACAGTGTTGCTAAGCATCTTTATGTGTGCTTGTTGATTAAACTGAAACATGATGGCACCATTCATTGTTTTACAAAGGTTAAATTTATGTCACAAGTTGTAAATTCAAACCTATAAACGTAGGCACCGATTTAGGGCAAACAATATACAATTACATATACAGGATGTATATTAAAGTCCTTACAAACTGATATGTAAGTGAGGCACAACATTCAACACACAGTAACAAATGAAGCATGAAGAGATAGGAAAATGACAAATACCCAAGTTATAAATAAACACATGAATGAACATACAAGAAATACACATTTTACCATCCATGCTTGACATGCACATTTGCATTTTACACTTTCTATTCCTACTATTCACATATGCAGGATGTCTTTTCGTACTAAATTGGTCACACTACAAAGTCACATGACAGAGTCAACCATTATCTTGAGGATCTTCTTTACCTTGGTATGTAAAACTGTCTCTCTGGTATTGATATTGGATAAAAATCAAAACCAAATCTATTCAGAGCTTCAAAATAAAGGCCTACTCCGTCATATGACTTTGTAGTATTCCTGAACTGTGAAAAGTGACAAATTACAAAGATGCTCCTATAATTCTTTTGAGTATTTCTTGTATTATGTGGAATTTTTTAATCCTCAGATTTATTGTCAGTTATGTGTACTGCCTAGCATAGTCCTGACAAGTTTAAACACTGATACATTTAATTGTGTTTGTATCGTATATACCCACAGTAGCCAAATGCAGCTTGCCAGCCAATGGGGCTCTTCTAGACTCATACTATGGCTTCCACATAAGTTATATATAAGCATATCACACAAAAATTAGTAACACCTAATAAAAATGGGAGTAGGGTGCTGTGAGAGAACTGTTGTGAGATAAATAGCACAGACATAGTCTGTGAGGTCATTTTTGTCTCCTGAAGTGTGACAATTCAATGCGAGTGTTGAATTGAGTCCACAGTATGGGCATATGACAGACATTACTGAGTAGAAAAACCGAGCTATCGTTTTTGACCATGCCCACAGACACAAAGTGAATGAAGTCACCCAATTTGTTGGTGTGTCGAAGTGTACTGTCTACAAATAGTGGTGCAGTTCACATTCAACTGAAAATAGAAAATGATTCAGTGATTCTTTCAGTCATAAAATTGAGCTATCTTTGTACCTGACAGATGCAGACAGGTGAACATTGCATTTGCTGCAACAAAAGAGACTATTTTTGTACCTGCCAGTCACAGGAGAGGCGATCCTTGTACCCTGTCAGGGATAAGAGATGTTTGCACTGGCCAGGCATGCAGACAATCTTTGCACCACTTGAATGCAATCAACATAAAATGCAAAGTTTTATCAAAATCAGCCTATCAAACTTTGAGAATGAACTCAATTCTATAAGCCAGGCAGAAGATGTGCTTGCAACCTTGGGACATCACATGATATTGCTTTGTTGCACACACTCTTGTTAGGGCCGTATATCTCAAAAATAAAGTCATGGATCTCCATTTATTTATTTGTTTTGGATTCTTCATAGTAATTAATTGATAATTGCAAAGTTTTATAAAAATTGATCAAACAGATTTCGAAAATGAACACAATAATGTAAGCCACATAGAAGAGGATTCTGTAGTGCTCTGCTTCAATAAATGCAAGTTTGCCCCCTCTTCCACCCATCTCCATATAATCTGATTAGATTCTGATGTTAGATTTACGTTTAAAATTATAATCTGTAGATGCCACTTTTTAATTTCCAGGACATATTGTTCGATGCGAGAATTCACAGAGTGAAGAAATTCATCCTGCACACAAACTATCCCGGTCATTATGATTTTAACATTTATCTTCGTTGCAATCTCAGCATTGATATCAATTGCACCAATAAAGAAAACAAGAGCGAAACTCTGACTATTACAACTTTCACCAAGGTAAGTTGGTTCTATTAGTAACTTTTGTTTGCAATTAGAGAATGACGTAACCTTCTTTGGTTCCAGTGGGATTCGGTGAAGCACAAACTCATTAAATTGTCTGTGTTACCGGTAGTTTTAAACAGAACGTCCACCAACACGACAAACCCCTTTGGTTCAACGTTCTCTTTCGGATTTGAAGATATGATTTTTGAGGTAATTTTGTTATGATTCTACAAGCTTTCTTATATACATTCATAAACAATAAACAATTTCTAGACACTACATTTATCACATTCCAGTTTTATGTACGTGATACATAGTAGTCCTTATACACCAATGTAACTGTACATCATGTTCTTAAGTGACTACACCTACAAGATGAGACCACCTGCAGTGTCATGGTGGGAAAATTCAGAAGTTAGCACTCCTCTCTCATAAATGATGCACAATATGAGAAAAAAGTCAATTACAAATCATATACACATTTGCATCAGGGATGGAGCTTCTTGTTGCTTATTAGAATAATACACTGTGTCTATGTCTAGCGTGCATTTTCATTCTCTATACTTTGTGATAGAATTCTCATCTCATATTGCCATATCAGGTTTTCCCGACCTCGGCCACACCCGGCGCAGATTAGTAAGTAGTTAGTAAATACGCCAAGGTGTTACTAGGGAAAGTTAGTACACAGAGTGGTTTCCCGTTGCCTTCTCTGGGGCGTGATGTTACGCGAGGGAAACTAATGCCTTCCGGGAGGACTTTTATGGGGAACTGGCCTCCTATTTAGTCGTTATTGGCAAGGAGAAAACTCGGAAAACTGCAAGCAGCCAGCCTGTCCGATCGTGGCGCGAACCCACGACCGAACTCCCAGTGTTTAGGGTACGAAGACCACTCGGCCACCGGTGGGCTCGTGATAGCATTAGTGATGTAGTATTTGGAATTGAATACCAACGAATTACCATTTCAAGCTTTTTATTCATGCATGCAGGGTGTCCATCTGTACTAACTCAGCCATACTCAACAACTTTGTAATAGACTTTTGCCTTATTGTGCATTGTATTTGAGTAAGAGTGTTAACTTCTAAATTTTATCTCTAGAGTTGCTGCAAGCAGTCTCATCTCGTAGCACTTTACTATAAGTATACATCGCGTTTGTAGCTGTAGCTAGCTGTGTTTGTCAGTGATGTAGATGTACACGGACTTTATATTCACCCTGTATACATTATTTAAAGTTCAAAAACTGTAAACAGAAACTAAAACAATTCCATTTTCTGATTCAGGATAGTTTTACGTGTTACTGCCATTAGGTAGGCATTTTGAAGTGTTGTAAGTTGATATTAGAGAGGTTGTGGCTGACGTTTTCAATGCGAAAACATGTATGTCTGACATTCAGCACCGCTTTCCTATAAGCCTAGAAGTTTGACAATGGTGTTTGGATAGTCAGTGGAATCTTGCTCGACATTCCAAACACTATTGCCTAACTTCTAGGACTTTAGGAAAGCGGCACTGAATGTCTGACGTACACGTTTTCACGTTGAAAACGTCGGCCGCAACTTCTCTAATATTATCTGTCTTAATACTTCAAAATGACATTTTGTTGAGGGTATTTGATCAACGTTTCTTCATATGTTAAAAGAAAAATTTTCCTGTTATTGTTAGTTTGATGATCAGAAGTTGTCATGAACACTAATAAGGACTTGGTTACGCAACTGAATTAATCAATGCACCTTTAAGTGGGTGAACTTCAAACAAAACTAACATTTTGAACTTGGTCAACAGGCCATTTTCAACCACGAATAGTTGAAATTGTTACTTTATTTATCAGTTCAGTTGAATGAATCACTGTACCACTGTTGAAGGTACATTGATTAATTCAACTGAACTGATTATTTGAGTTTTCTTTTTTACATTTTTTCATGCAACATTCATTCAGTATTATAGATTTAAATGATAAAAAATACTCTTGACAAGCAAAAGAGCTATTAAAGTTCTAAGTTTTGAGTCTTGTCTTTAATTATGCGAATAGCAACACGAACAAATTGAAGCTGTAATGAAGTACAAACCTGTTCAATGAATGGTCGTACAAAATGAGTTTGATTGTTATTCCTATTCTTTCTTTGAATTCATTGCTTCATTTGAAACAATTTAATATATATCTTTTAGTAAATTCAGTTTATTAATGACTTTAAATTTAATTAGACTTATATTCTGCAGTATGCTACAACGGGTTGCAACTTCATTTATTGCTTCCAATGAGAGAAGAATTATGTATGCATTGTTAAATAAAATAAACAAACACCTTTCTCTATTCCAGCACAACGTTTACTGCATTAAAAAACGTTTTCAACCGTTTTAAGCGATCTTCCTTAGTTCAAATTTGAACCATATAACGAACAAAGTATTTGAAAAATACAAAAATTCAAAGCGCTTATTCACAACTTAACTCTAAAGCGCATGCCCGTACTCATAAAATGTATAGATTAAACCAAAATAATTAAAAATAAACCAAAAAAATTATGTATCAAGTAATATTATAAAAACAATTAATAACGCCGCCTATGCGGTTGCAACAGTTAATCTATGTTATCATAAAAGGACCTCCAGGCTGTTGATAAACCTTTCAGCATTTCTGTGATTGATGCACTGCGCGATCATATGCGCCTTGTGTACTCAACTTTTTCCAGGTGTTTCACCTCTTGTGTTGATCTTGTAGGTCTAATAATCGCTGCCTGATCCCAGTATACTGCAATTTCTTGCTGCTTCGCATTGATTGCAAGGATTCATGAGCACAAATACTCGGTGTATAGAAACGTTGATAGCACAGTCCTCGCAGCAAGAAATTGCAGTATACTGGGATCAGGCAGCGATTATTAGACCTACAAGATCAACGCAAGAGGTGAAACACCTGGAAAAAGTTGAGATACACAAGGCGCATATGATCGCGCAGTGCATCAATCACAGGGATGCTGAAAGGTTTATCAACAGCCTGGAGGTCCTTTTATGATAACATAGATTAACTGTTGCAACCGCATAGGCGGTGTTATTAATTGTTTTTATAATATTACTTGATTCATAATTTTTTTGGTTTATTTTTAATTATTTTGGTTTAATCTATACATTTTATGACTACGGGCATGCGCTTTAGAGTTAAGTTGTGAATAAGCGCTTTGAATTTTTGTATTTTTCAAATACTTTCTTTGTTATATGGTTCGAATTTGAACTGAGGAAGATCGCTTAAAACGGTCGTAAACATTTTTTAATGCAGTAAACATCATGCTGGAATAGAGAAAAGTGTTTGTTTATTTTATTTAATTAATTCCAGTAAGCATTTATTTATGTATGCATTGTTAAAGATTTGGTCTGTGGTTCTTAAGTGCACAAATTCTTGTAGCTGTTTAACACTATGGGTCGATTTTACAGACCAGTAGCTGTAAAATTGACACATTCGACTGCTCTTGCAGCACTACTTGCAAGGGTAGTTTGTGGAGTTCCACTGTTTGCTGTCTTCCACTCTGTTAGACACATACTTCTGCTGTAGCAGCATGTTTGGTACCAACAGCATGCTGAATATAGAGTTTGACTATAAATGGGACAATGCTCTTGTCGATTCCAGCAACAGCTAGCAACCTTGAAACTTCACACAATTGCAATTGGATAACTTTTCCACTGTTTTTCACACCACACCCAATATTTTGTACTTGATGTACTTACTTGATAAAGCCATAAAGCACGGATCACCAGGAATAAATTCAATATATGTGTTTAGTGTTTGTACATTTAATGTTCAAAGAATGCATCTCTATGTGCATTCGGTTAATTATTGCTCACAAAGAATGTATTTTACAATTTCATGCTTTCATATGGCAACTCCATCTTGTATATTAGAACTGGTTCTCAAAGTGGTATTTGTGCACGGACCACTGGTGATCCACCAACTGAATTAGTGAAATTCTGTGCTGTTCGGACAAAGAAAAGAACATTTATACAGCTTTTCTTGATTAAAACTTTGAGGAAAAGTTGTTGAATTTCAAATTATGGAAAGCATGCTATGTGTTATCCCATTCTATAAAATTCGTGTAGTGGATTCTAGAGACTCCTCGTAGCACAATAACGTTCATTATACTTTAACTAATTGTGACTTACACAAAAAATACTTTCATTTTAATCAATCGTAAGGTTAAGCTGTCGTCTCGTCATTGATATTATTAAATAATTTTGAGGAATTTGGAAGAGAAGATCAACGTAGAGCAGAACCCAAACCTTCAATTTCTGCTTACTTCACAGATGCATTAGCAGTTACATTCTTTCAATCTTTGCTTCCATGTATTAATTTGAATCGTATAATCTACAGATCAATTACCATTGAAGATTCTTATCTCTAAATTCTCTTTTAAACATACACAGCAGGTATAAGTCGACCACCAAGTACCCAGTACAGGTATCCTCCGTATAACATGGTAGTTAGGTTCCAAAAAAGTATTGTGCTATGCAAAACAAAGGATTAATACAAATCATAGGGATAAGTTCTAAAAGTTAATAAAAGAGAATAATACATTCTTACTAAGAGAAATAATTATTATTTGCTTTAATAAACATGAATCTATTTTAATACTTTCCGACTACCATTTCTTGTAACTGTCTGTAATGCCATAACTCATCTCATAGTGCCATATCAGGATTTTCCCGACCTCAGCCACACCCGGCGTAGATTAGTAAGTAGTTAGTAAATACGCCAAGGCGTTACTAGGGAAAGTTAGTACCCAGAATGGTTTTCCGTTGCCTTCTCTGGGGCGCGATGTTACGCGAGGGAAACTAATGCCTTTCGGGAGGACTTTTATGGGGAACTGGCCTCCTATTTAGTCATTATTCGCAAGGAGAAAACCCAGAAAACTCCAAGCAGCCAGCCTGTCCGATCGCGGCGCGAACCCACGACCGAACTCCCAGTGTTTCGGGTATGAAGACCACTCGGCCACTGGTGGGCAATGCCATCACACACACCCTTATTTGTACTAAGGAATAATACAGGATACAAGGGGATAACAAACATTACATTATTTTATTGATTATATGTATAACATACAAAGCAGTGATGTAAACATTACGGTTTGCTATGCTACACTTCAGAAATAAATTCCGATATCCAAGAGTGAGACCCGGCAATAGGTAACATTTTAGTAGATACCCCTAAAATACCCCTTTAGTATTTTAGTATAG